ATACATACCATGCCATACATATCATACCATACATACCATACCATATATACAACACCATACATACCATACCATACATACTATACTATACATACCATACCATACCATACCATACCATACCATACCATACCATACCATACCATACCATGCATACCATACCATACCATGCATACCATACATACCATACCATACATACCATACATACCATACCATACATACCATACATACCATACATACCATACCATACCATACCATACATACCATACCATACATAACATACCATACATAACATACCATACATACCATACCATACATACCATACCATACATAACATACCATACATAACATACCATACATAACATACCATACATAACATACCATACATAACATACCATACATAACATACCATACATAACATACCATACATAACATACCATACATAACATACCATTCATAACATACCATACATAACATACCATACATAACATACCATACATAACATACCATACATAACATACCATACATAACATAACATACATAACATAACATACATAACATAACATACCATACCATAATACCATACCATACATACCATACCATACCATACCATACATACCATTCATACCATACCATACCATACCATACCATACCATACCATACCATACCATACATACCATACCATACCATACCATACCATACCATACCATACCATACCATAACATAACATAACATACCATACCATAACACACCATACCATACCATACATACTATACAAGCCATCTTCATGTCCCTAAACATTTCCCAGTGCCAGTTTTAGACCATATAGTTCTAGGAGCCTTGGTTAGTTCCAAAACCTACCTTAATGGGGGTTTCAACCAATAATTATCTTTTAGTCCCTGGGAATGTATTACTTCAACATTGTCTATACTGACAATGTGAACCAATAAGCAACCACTTTTACGTCTTCTGGTATTGAATAGTCAAGCTTTATGACAGAAGAGAGTTACAGAAACATCTAAGACAGAACTGTAAAGTAATGAACTTTCTTTTAACGCCTTCAGGCGTATTGAGCAAATAGCGCTAGACCTCGTTTATTTTATAGACCATAGGCAATCTGTGGGTGATATACCTAATATCACATCGGCCGCCTTTACTTCTACTGAATTTACATAATGCCCATTTAAGGCTGGGTCGAAGTGGGAGCGAAGATCATTTTTTGAAGGTGGGAAATCAGGCTCTGTTCCCATTTGAATCCACGACTTTTGAATTCGCAGGTAAGCGTCTAGCCGCTACACCACGGCGGCTCCCCTATCCTGATGTATTTAACTAAAGAGCAAAAACGTTTAAGTCTTAGGAAATTGAAGAATAAAGCTTTAGCTTAAGGACAGAAGGGAGATATAGTAAAATCTAAGCTTGAGTCAGACAGAGTGCGTATTGACTGACTGACTGATTTTCTACCCCACCAGGACATCACACAAGCGATAAACACCCGATGACACAAAGTGCCACCATGTGGATGAGGATCACGGTGGAGAGGTCCAGAAACCGCGTTCAGACAATTGGCCATATTTATGGCCTGCCTATATTGCGGCCCCTGGCAAAAGCCAGAGTGGGGCTTCAAATAACAAAAAAATTACGTCCTAAAAAAGACGTTGGGATATTATAAATTATTAGCGCGTATTCATGTGTGTCTCTTAATAAGAGTAACGAATGAGTATACGTATTATGAGTCTCGTATTGTAAGTTACTTGTTACTGAAAGTGTTGAAACCATTACTCCCCCAATCATGGATGTAGTGCACTAACAGGGCCCGAAAACAGGCAGGGACAAGTGCATCACATTTCTGGTCTGGTGTTTATACAGGCACCTATCAGAGACTTATGTATCCCCTGTGGCAGAGACTATCTGCCATTTCGTACTTAATTCCTATCTCCTGTGTTTTAACTGCCTCGGGAAGTTATTTTTGTTGATTGCCCAATGCTTTCTGAAATAACATCTGCCAGAGAAATTGAACCAAATGGGTTTTTTCCCCCTTCCTGCGTCACTGAAACCGGGCAGAATTTGAGCAGCTAGTGAAACGACAAAGAAATGTCCAGACGAGTGCGTTAGCAGTAAAGTTCTAAGAGCGGACGGGGAGAAAATTATCTAAACATCGAAAAGCAAGCCGAAGTGAGAAAAATGCGATACGACGAACAGATTCTTAGAAGCGCATCGCTGTCCCTTAATATGGGTCATCTCTGGTTGGCTAGAAGCAAATATTAAAGCACTAGATAGACACTGAAGACGACACAAAGAAAAACTGGGCGGAGGGTGTTCCCTGAGAAAAAACAAAAAGGGTAAGGAGTCTCTTCACTCAAGCTCACACAAAAGGGCCAGAATTTTTTTTTTTTTTAAACACACACAACACTGACGGACAACTCGGTAACAGTGCGACGACAAAAGTTAGTTGCGTATCCTTTACAGGACGTTGCAGAACCAACCCCATAATTTTTTTGCTGTTGTGGTTTTCCTAGGCAGGTTTACGTCCCGTAGTTTGCTATTTCTTTATGGACGGTCGGCTTCTCGATACCAATATCGAAACTAACGCAAGGCGCAAGACCCCCACGCCCCTCCCTTTTGAGTATATGGCAAGACCCCAAAGTCCCTTTCCAAATGAGTATATATATATATATATATATATATATATATATATATATATATATATATATATATATATATATATATATATAAATCAAGACCCACACTCCTCTCCCTCTTGAGTATATGGCAAGACCCCAAAATCCCCTTTCACTTGAGTATATATATCAAAATCCACACACCCCTCCCCCTTGAGTATATTGCAAGACCCCAAAGTCCCCTCCCACTTGAGTATATATATCAAAACCCACACCCCTCCCCTGCAAATTTACTGTCATTAAGCTATCACCGGTGAGTAGTCACTCAACGCATGGTGAGTTTATTGGTATGAGATATGTTCACCCACTGCCTATGAAGCTTCCTTACTGAATGGTGTATTTGCATCTCAGCTCTGGAGCACCCATAGCTCTGACATGTTAGTTTAAGGCCTAGCTAATGAGCGACTACAGGTTCGCAGGGGAAACTGCTAACTTGAGTCAACAAGAAGCTGTTTCATTTGATTAAGCTATGTTTTCGTTCGCCTCCCCCTTCTGGACGATTTTGTTTGTGAGATCAACAAACCAGTTTACATCTCAATAACCGACACCTGCTGTCGTTAAGAGTCCTTTTTCCACGCCTTTAGGAGTTTGGGAATATAGGGCTAGACTTATATTTTTATAGACTAATCGTCACTTGGTGTGTGATGTGGTCAGCTTCGCGCCGGTCGCCTTTACTTTCCAGGAGTGCACCTGGTACTCACTCAAGGCTGGGTCGACCTGGAAGTCAAGGTCTTTTAAAACAAAAAGTCTGGTTTCATCAGGATCATACACACACACACACACATACGCACACGCACACACACACACTCACACACACACACACTTTATTCCCGTGAGGGTTTCGGGCTGTATTTTGGAGAATAAAGAATATACCCACTGCCCCCGTCCCCGCCCAACATGCATGTCGTAGGAGGTGACTAGGTAGGGGTATATCTTTCAAAGTTGGAGTGCATCTGCCTCAGAGGCAAGTAACCAACAGCCTGCATAAAAAAAAAAGTCAGATCTGTTAAACAAATGTACAATAGAACCCCAAGTTCCGGATCAAGACCCAAAGACCAGGAGTGGACGAACAACCAGAATTTTACACCGGAGTTTACAGCCGGTGAACGATAAGAAGAAGAAGATACACTCTATATATGTAAAATAATATAGACATTTATTTGGCTGAGGTCATTGGAAAAACTAGACATCCGTTAATTAACTATGTGCCATTATCTGGCCAAGACTCTACACTGGTGGTTTTCAACCTTTCCTAATGCCGCGACCCTTTAATATAATTCCTTATGTTGTGGTGACCCCCAGCCAAAAAGTTATTTTTGTTGCTGCTTCATAACTTTAGTAAATATGTGTTTTCCAATGGTATTTGGTGACCCTTGCGAAAGGGTCGTTCCACCCACAAAATGGTCGAGAACCGGTGCTCTACACTGAGAGGAAAGGCAGCACGGACATATAGTCAAACTGCTACTGGAACCATCCGAATGGGAACTCTTCGGTAGAGATGAGGACGGGGCGTTTATAGGAGTGTCCCGAGATCTGTGATGTCAGTTTTTGACTCAGTACTCAATATACACAGGTAAGGTTAGTTGCGTATCCTTTTTACATGACGTTGCAGAACAACAAACCCCACCATTTGTTGCCTGTTTAGTTTTTTTAGGCAATTATAAGTTCGGTAGTCGCTTCCATTATATTGCACGGTTGGCTCTCGATACTACTACCGAGATCATTGCAAAACGGTATTTGGCAAATCTTCCTCAGCTAAATTCAACCCAGGTACCTGGATATAAGAAAACGCTTTAGCAGTGCCCAAGCCACAGACGTCGACCACTGCACCCAAGCCACAGACGTCGACCACTACACGCAAGCCTTAGACACCGACCACTGCACCCAAGCCACAGACGTCGACCCCTGCACGCAAGCCACAGACACCGACCACTGCACCCAAGCCACAGACGTCGACCACTACACCCAAGCCACAGACACCGACCACTACACCCAAGCCACAGACGTCGACCACTACACCCAAGCCACAGACACCGACCACTACACCCAAGCCACAGACGTCGACCACTACACCCAAGCCACAGACACCGACCACTACACCCAAGCCACAGACACCGACCACTACACCCAAGCCACAGACGTCGACCACTACACCCAAGCCACAGACGTCGACCACTGCACCCAAGCCACAGACACCGACCACTACACCCAAGCCTTAGACACCGACCACTGCACCCAAGCCACAGACGTCGACCACTACACCCAAGCCACAGACACCGACCACTACACCCAAGCCACAGACATCGACCACTACACCCAAGCCACAGA